TAAGGCATTATCTGTTCTGTATCTGTTTGTCTTCCTGGGCCTATAAGGCAAGAAGAGTTGAAGAAGCAGAGGGACACTGATGTTGACCACTAAGTGAAGGCTTCAGGGTATTGAACTGGTGTGTTCAGGGCATAACCTCAGCTTGGGCTGTGATTAGGGTGGTTCAGGGGGAAAAAAATCTCAGTGTAGCTTAATCATTTCTGTGTCAGTCTGTAGGAAAGTTTTACTGAAACAAGCTGATAAGATCCAGAACAATACAGTGTGAATAAAAAGGAGAGACTGACACAGGAATGTATCTGTAAATTAAGGCTTCTGTTATTCTTGATATATCTGGTTCTTTTTTTTTCCTCTAGCAGTGTATTTTAATTACCAGTAATGTAAAATTTTATATTGTATATCATGAAGCATTAGGTATTACACTTATGCAGTCAATGTAAAATGAGAGAAAACTTCTATATTGTTGCCTTTGGGTCTTCCATTGTTTTCTTTTAAAGGCAATTGAAGTCTTTTCATGGTTTTGAGTATGGTTTGGATCAGGCAGTTTCCTACCTAGCATTGTATAAGGAGATTATATGACCAATTTAGCTCACAGAAGGGGCGTTGATGCAGTTTTGACAGCAGAATCTCTGTTTCTGGGGAAAATGTTGGTGAACATACGGTAAACATACTGGAACTGGAAAATGAAGTTCAGTTTCTACTGTTTTATAGACTAACTTTGTGCAGAATGTCATCAGATGAGGAGAAAAGCACAAGTGCGGTTTTGCCAAAAGACTCTTTTGGGGGCAGTTCTTCAAATCTTCAGGTAGGAAAGAGGCAACCTCATTTGGTTCACTGTCATAGCAATTTATTTGGTAAAGAAAAATTGTGAGGATATCTAACAAAACTTGCATCTTTTTTATGTTTTACGTGTACAGAAAAATAGAAAAAATGTTAGTGAAAAGAAGCAAATTAGACTAAAAAAATCTGTGATTAAAGTATCTTCACTCGGATTCTCTTTTGTGCATTTCACAATAAATTTCAATTTATGTGAAAATTCTTGTCTAAACTTAAGCAATTGATCAAACACAGCTACAAGTAAAATAGTACAGTTTTCTTACCTTTTTTTTTCTGGTGTTATTTTTTATATGTGTTAAGTCTTATCAAGAAGCATAAATTTGACACAGTGGGATAGAAACCTGGTATTTCTGAGCGATGAAGTATAACTGTGTTAGGCTTCTTAGATAATGTTGTAAGAATTGATTTTTTTTTTTTTAATGGATTTATTTCCCTTGGAGTAGGATTTTGTCAAAGTTAATCTCTGAAAGGAAATGCCTTTTTTTTTTTCTGTCTGCATCAAATATTCCAAGATTTGCTGGAACTATAACAGTGGGGGGGTTCCTTTTCTGTGCTCAGCATTCTTTTGAAATGATGCAAAGATTCTGGATAAAGTCTTTGTCCCGTTCTTTTGAAAGCAGCAGATTTTCATCCTTTAATAATTGGTTATTCCTATTTGAGTAATGAGTGGGGTTTTTTCCCTTTGATACGATTCTATCCAAAACAGACTAGTTTTGACAAAATTAGGTTGTGCTTGTTGCCCTATAGAAATGCATATCCACTTTTGTCACCTGGTGGAATGGGCATGTACAGCAGAATCCCTGTTAAATTAAGGGGTTTTTTTTTTTTCATGTGGATTGACTTTGTGCCTTTTAAACTACTGTTTATGGGCAATTAATTTCTGCAGTTCATATACTTCTCTATTTGCCATGTCTCATGGATAAGTTTTCTTAATCTTTGTTCAGCAACAGTAATTCATCTGTTTCTAATGCCTTCTGTAGTTGGAAAGCAGGATGAAGGCTTTACGCGACAAATTTTGTGACTTTTTTGAAAGACCAGAGTTTTCTTTTGTGATCTGGTTGATTACCAAGGATATTCGAAGGCCACCTTGTAGAGAATGATAAAGTAAACTAACATTAATGAATGACTGCTTTGCAACTGAGAACACATCTAGAACAGAATAGTTCCTGTTGGAAGGGACCTACAACAATCATCTAGTCCAACTGCCTGACCGCTTCAGGCTGACCAAAAGTTACAGCATGTTGTTAAGGGCTTGGCCCAAATGCCTCTTAAGCACTGATGGGCTTGTGCCATCGACCACGTCTCTAGGAAGCCCATTCCAGTGTTTGACCACCCTCTCAGTAAAGAAATGCTTCCTAATGTCCGATCTGATCCTCCCTGGGTGCAGCTTTGAACGATTCCCACATGTCCTATCACTGCATCCCAGAGAGAAGAGATCAGCAGCTCCCTCTCCACTTCCCCTCCTCAGGGAGCTGCAGAGAGCAATGAGGTGGCACCTCAGCCTCCTTTCTCCAAACCAGACAAACCCAGAGTCCTCAGCCGCTCCTCGGGGGAGTCTTATTACTGTTGAAAAAGAACACAGGTCACAGCTAAGCAATTGGAATGTTGACAGGGAAGTACTCTGCTCCTTTTAGATAATTTTGAACGGCCTTGTTTTGTTCTGTTCGGGCCTTTTTGATAATTTGATGCTTTTAAATAGAGCCAGATTATTACCTTTTCCTTATAAAAAGAATCTGCTGGCTCTTAGACAATTTCCATTTACTTGTAACTGAGCAAGACTTTGTACATTCAATCCATTCTTTGTGTTATTTAGTAACCTTGACTGCAATGCTAAGGGCAAATTCTATGTAGCATCTGTAGATTTTTATAATGCTTTAAGAAGGAAGGAAAAAACCCTAGCTCCTCTGAATGCTCTTCTGCCCTTTGCTGGTTGCAACACTAATTTATTTACTTCTACAAAACTAAGTAGTAGGCATTAAATGATCAAAACTCCTCTGACCTTCAGGCCTTAGAACTGTATTCCTGTAGTTTTATGCTCAAACAGAATTTTTGTAGTTGACGTAACAGCTGGAAAGTTTTGTTTAAAGTAGAACAAAGATAGTGAGTAAACCAAAGGTACTTTGTAAATTTTATTTTATTATGTTTTTATTTTAAATTTATTGGTCAATATTGCATTCCAATTGCAGTGGCCTTGTTACCGAGTATTTAAGATTGAGATAATACACTTAGTCACTCAATGTTTCCATTTCTGTGCCTTACATGTTGCTATTTCAGTCTCCAGGATTATTTTTTTGTGTCTGTTTCTGGTTATAATTGGGATACTGAGTTTTCTTTGATATTTGCTTTCAACTTCATTCCAGCAGTTTTGTAATATTGTAATTTATGTGTTTATTTCCTGATTTTTCACTGATGCTGTCTGTTGACAAGTTTTGTTGGTGTGTAAAAGTGTGTATTCTTGCACGTAGTAGATTCTTTGGGTTTTAAGGAGTGTTAGAACTTGAAAGATGAGATAAATTTCCTGCCATAATTTGATGTGTATATTTTGAGTGCTCTGGGTGTCTGTAGTAAGACAGACTGTGTGCTAGTGAGCCACGTACTTGCACCTGACATCTCACCTACTGTGTCCCTTGAATTGGACATAGTAATCATGAAGCAGGTGGATCAGCTCTGACTTGGGGGGGGGGGGGGGAAGGATTAGTTTTAAATTGCTGTTTGATCACACAATCTCTTTGAAGAAGATAGAGAAGTGATCTAACGTCTGCTGCACAATCATTTAATTTAGGTGAGTTAAGGTAAAGACTAATGTATTGGCTTTTTCACTCTGCCGAAATTTTGCTGCAGGGAATTTTGTACAGTTCCACATGGCTCCTGGTCGAATGACTCCTCTGAAGATACCTGTTTTCTTCTTTTGACATGTGATAAAATCTAAACTGTATTTCTTTGGACAGATATGGAAAAATTGATCACTTGTCAATTCGCAACTAACTATACCTTTTATGTGAAATGTGGTACTTCCTTTTGCTTATCAAAAAGATACACTATGTATTTGTTTATAATTATATAGCTTCGTATACCTTTATTTAGCCTTTTAATTTTAATATGATAGATTAGAAAGGGGGAAATGGAAATTTGAAAGGAAAAGAATCCAGCTACGAAGTACAAAACCTAGCTTCTTAAATTCTCTAATCAGCTGAAACTCACATAAATTTAAAAGTTACACTGAAAGTTTTAAAATACTATCCTTTCCAGCTGGTAGATTCAAAAACATGTTACATGTAATTGGTACCTTAAATAGCTTATTTCCACTCTTAACTTTCCCCAGCTCGAGGAGGAAAATAATTTTTCAATTCACAATGGGTTTTTGAGGTTTGACCTCATTAGGATACTAAACAGAATTAGCATGATGGTATTAAGTGAAGAAAAAATGACTGCCGGTGACCTGGTTTAGTACTTTCCAACTGGTGTTTTTTCCAAATGGCTAATTAGTGGCTTTGATCTGTTTCAGTATTTAACTGCTACTGGAACTTTTTAAATTAATTACTGGATTGTATGTTTAAGCTATAATACTGATTGTTCATAGTTTCATATTGAACTCTAAATACTTTCATTCTGAAAATCTGTTTAATTAGGAGATTTCAAAAAAATGTGACGTTAATTGTCTTACTTTGGTACATAGTATAATGCCACATACCAGTTAGATTGGCTTATAACTTTTTAACAGGAAAGCTTTTATATTATTTATATATACACATTCCCTATAAGTATATAATTTTAAAAATGCATAATATAAGGTGAGAATAATTATGTGTCATCTAAAGAAAATACTGAATAGTCAAAAATCTTTTGATGACTGGCTTTAGAGCACCCACCAAAGAAATTGTAATGTTATGGAATGTGAAATGTGACTGTGTTCAGTAGCATCTTTGTCATGGCTTTAAAAATACATCTTTTTCTTAGATGTATTTTAGAATGCTTAGAAATAGTAAACGGTGATTAACAGCTTACATGATCTGGAACTTTTTTTTCAGTTCATGTTTTTGTTTAAGATTCCTATTATAGTATCCAATTCTGGCATCCAGCAAAGTCTTTCCGTGTAACTATTACAGCGCGTCTGGTTGAAATCGGAACATGAAAATGCAACAAGACAAAGGTAAATTATTATAATCATGGCAGAAGAACAGCTCGCTCTTGCAACTTTAAGGGAAATCATCTTAGTTTTCACAACAACAATGGTAATGATAACAATACCATCAAAAATATCAAAAGCTATTTCCACGCCTTCCTACATATACCTAGTTTTCAGAAATGTAATTATAGTTTTATAATTATTTGTCATCACTTTGTGACAGGATGAATACGAAGAGCTGCTTCATTATGGTGCGCTGACTTCAAAGTGGTCAGAACCTGCTTCAGAACTGAGAGGACGTGGCAGATATTCCAGTGTAACAAATGTTGCCATTCACTGCAAGACTCCAGGTAGTACATGCAAAGCTATACATTGAGCTTACAAAAACAGTGATAGAACTTTTTTGACTTACATTTTCTAATAGGTTCTGTTTGAAAAATATACGTAGCTTGTGTATAGTACGTTTGCATTTTGCGCAACAGGAAATTTAGGAGGTATATTGACTGAAGGGTTCTTAATCTGACATCACTTTTAGATGGTTGTATTGATGTGCTGACAGTGCTCTGCGTTTTGTGATGCAGATGTCTGAAGTGGTTGGTGTAATAATGCCAAAAGGGGTGCCCTTAGAGTATATCTCATTGCGATTTGACAGGTTACAACTGGTTTTGCTCATACCTTTGCTGCCCTGATAGGTAAATGAGTATTTAAAATATGATTATTTGGAAGTAAAAGTTACCTTAAAAAGGCTTAGTTCAATCATTCTATTCTAGTTTTACTTTATTGCTTTGTATTTAGGACCGTATAAACTTAGTGTCATGTGATGCATTAGTAACACTGGTATTTATGGTTTTTTGCTTTTGCCACTAGCATTTAGATTGAGGAAGCTCTGTTAATTCTGCTTCAGAAGAAATAGTAAATGGTCCTGTTGTTCTAAAAGTGGATTCTTTACCCGGTGTGCAATAAGTATCTCAGTAGAGATACTGCATTTATTCAGGCCTGGATGCTCAGCAGATTTGTCCACAAATAAAGCACACCCAGTGCTGGCTTGTGGATCGCATTGATGCATTGAATTCATACATGTTCTGCCTATCTAATACACACTCATTCTTATCTACACAGATTATGTAATTGTGCCACATCCTTATTCTTGACCCTTCTTCACATCCTTTTGCATATGTCTTCCTTTTTTTGCGGGTCTCTGGTGGCCTTTAGTAAGGGAGTACCCTTACTCCTTTTATCCCTATATAGTCACGTGTCATCTAAGGACAACTTAAGACCATTTTCTCCCACCAACTCTCCTTTAAGTTGTTCGAAAGGAGTATTTGTCCATGATTAAACGGGTAAGGTTGATGGCCAAGATATTCTGTCCTGAGGTTGTGTTAAATGTTAACCATATTTCTGTCATGCAATGCCTAAACAATATTGTTTACAAATTTACATTTACACTAATTAAACACAGACAATACCTCTTTATTCTCAGCAGAAGATGGAAATATTAACTATTTCAATCATACCTCCATTATTTCCTTACTAAGGAATTTAACTTAGTTTAAAGTAAATTCTTCCTGATTAACTTCTTTATCGTGCTATTTCATGATAAAAATATTTACCTACAGTTTTCTCTTCACTCCTCTTTTTGTGACCCTTGAAGATGGGTTTATCTCAATATTTAGAGCATTGGGTGTAAAATGTGTGGATAATTTTACTACTAGAGACTAAGTAGCCTTGAAGTGCTGTTTAAATCCGGTGCTAATCATCGTCTTGGAGTTAGTGTTGTTCATGGCTAGTATATGCAAGAACTCTTGGCCATGCTGATCACACCTAAATAACTCTTCTAGCAGGAATTTACCAGTGCGATTTCAAAGGGCAGTGCAGACACTAAAAGTTGTTTATTACATATTAGAAAAAGAGCCATGAGTAAAAAAGAAATCTGTTGTCTTAAATTGTATGTTGTTTTCACTGGAATATAAAACAGTCTTAGTAAGCTGTCAGTTACCATTAGTTAACTCATGTTAATACAATATAATAAAAAGCTATCTAGAAACCGTTTCTTAAAATAAGGAATGTGATTAAGGTGAGGGAGGTAGTATTGGTTGTGCTCTATATCCTTCCACAATGTGTCTGTGCAGTGGAGTTTAAGCATGTTCAGACACCCAAGCCAATGCCTCTTTTTCCAGTGTGCCATAAAGAGAAATGTTTTATCATTTTTATAAACATATGGATAATATTAGTCCTTAAGGACACCATATCCATGACTTTCCCCATGCAGAATTAGTGTGGTGGTTATTCTGAATATCAGACTGCCACAGGAAACATAGAAGGCATGATTCTGAATTCATTGAAAGCGCGAGAGTGGGGGTTTGTAGAGGGAAAATGTAATGGAAGTAGATCTGGAATTAGAATGTGAATAACGTTAGAAAAACTTCTGCCAACAGAAGAGTTTCAAGTGCAGCCTTTGATTTGTGTTTTTTACATATTGAAGTTTATTAACTTGACCAGTGTAGTTATGTCCTGTGTGGAAATTGTACCAAGTCGCATAAGAAATTAGATCAATAGAAGCTGCTGGTATTTTGTACTATGTCAATTATTCTTGAAAACTCTAACATTGTAGAAAAAAATCCATTATACTAAGAGGTATTCCTGCAGCTCCTAGAGTGAGAGCAGTTGCTTGGAGTTTAAAAAATTATGATACAAAATGTTTTGATTGGGGGAATTAAACATCCTCATCTGCTATATCAGGTCGAGGTACCGAAAATTGCAGTCAAGATAGATTCAATTGTCTGTTTAAACTATCTGTGATTTCCACAGCCGAAGAACATTCTGTGGCTACTGTTAAGAGTCCGATACTCGCTCACCAGGTTCCTTTAGGTACGGCACACGAGAAGGATTTAGTCTTCTAGTACTGGTTCTGAAGATATTTGCTTTTTACATGGGATCTTGGTTTAGCAGAGTGATACAGTAATAGACTGAAATCACAATGCAAGCACATGTCACAGTCTGTTTGGCTCTCTCAAGTTTACACGTCAGCATACTCTGTAAATTAAACTTTATTTTCTGAGGTCAATAGGAAAGACAACAAACACAACAAGGGCTCAATCCCCTTTATCTGGACCAGTCTAAGATATGAACTCACTAATTCATCCCTTAGTTCGCAAGGTTTCGAACTCACACATTCTCCAATTTGTGACTTGCAACTCGTGGCTCACTCCCCATTGAGCAAAATAGTTGCCTAACTGATGGTGAGAGTGCTCATCCTTCCTTCTCCGTCACAGCTCACAGTGCAGGACTCCCCTGTATCACACCGGGAAGCACTAAAGCATCAGCAGCCTGGCTGCTGTTGGATACATTTCAAAAGCCTTTTGTGTATTTATACCTTCCAGCTTGGGAGTCTGGTCTATACTATTTCTGTATACACTGTTTCTATGTAACTATAAGTTAGTGAATTCTGAAGGAACTGCCAGACAATGTGCAAGGATTATGGCTGCAGGAGACTGCAAGCTGCATTACGACCTTTAGCTCTTCTGTCCTGCCTATCTGCTGCTTTTGCCTTGTCCTAATGGCACTAATCTCAGGATATACCAGGCCTTAGCACGAGCTGTGTGTTAGCCAAAATCTGAGCAGGACTTGAGTCACAGCATGGTAGAGTAATTGTAATGTACAGTTAGATCACAGTACAACCATGATTCCTGATACTGGTCTCTGTACACTGACCGTCATGACACAGGGCATACCTAGTTGCCAGGAAAGACTATGTGGCTTAAAGCCAGCTCAAATCTGTTGCTCTGTTAAAAGTTCGTTTTGCTGGTTGCTCAGTTTTTATACTGTGTTGGGTTGAGCCAGCACTTCCCACATGCTTGTCTAGCTAGCACAGGAATGCATTTACACTTCTTGATTAACTAAGGCCACTTACACGACCAGTTGATCCACTCAGCTGGTACAGCCATTTACAAAAAGCAAAGGCCACCCTCTGCCCCTCCCTGTGTTGAGGTAAGTTCAGCTTTCTTAACAGCAGCTGTGGTCTCTCCCTGTATTCTTCCCTGAGCTTAACAACCATAGTGCCCATCTCCTCTGAATCTTCTTGCATTGTGTCAGGCTATTGATCAGCCACCCTAGCAGATTGCCGGGA